TTTGAACCGACAAACTGTTTTAATGTTTATTTATAACTGTTTTTAATGTATGCTAATTGTATTTAATGTTATGTTATTATATTGTGTTGACATCGAATAGTTGCCTGTTGGAAGCCGTCCTGAGTCTCTCTTCGGAGGTCAAGAAGGACGGGGTATAAATGCTCTAAACAAATAAATAAATAAGAGAGAGAAAAGACATTTCCCACTACCCAGTGAGCAGGTTGGGAGTAAGGTAGATATCCAGATATTGCTGCCAGAGAGACTTAAATTAGCACAGTCAATGGTGAGAAATCCCAATTATAGGAGTTGCAGTTCAACATCTGAAGAATCACATGATTCTCGACTTTTGACTTGGAACAACCTGTATCTTCTGATAAATGCTAAGCCACACCTATTAAATTGCATATTTTCAGAAATTTGTGATGCATGAATCTAAATTGTATTTATGATAATTATAAAGGAAACACCTTTATTTTATGATTTCTTGATATAAAGGTAAGAATCAACAGGGCCACCTGTTTTGAAATACCATGAAAAGATAAGAGAGAACATATAGAAGCAAATGCAATGTTAATTTATGTTCACCTGTGGCACTATTACAACACCGCTTTAAACTTCTGAATAGATCATAACACTTCATGTACTTTTGCAACATTTTAAGACTATGTTGTGAAAGCAACTAAACCAGAGAAAGCAGCAAGAGTGCTGGGCAGATTTTTGTTTTAGTTCATGCATTGCTATTTTTATGTCAGTAATCTTTGGACAGATATCTGGATTTCAATTTTGGCATCATATTCATTCTGTTTAAGTTTTGCTTATCAGCTTTACAGGGATGCAGCCATCCTACTTTAGTAATGGTTTATGCAACCCTTTGAACATGTAAAGTCCCAGTCTGTAGAGCCATTGTGGGGTTTTTTTTGAGACATGTTAAGGAATCTGGAGATCATCCAAGGAGAATTCACAATATTTCTTCAGCAGTTGTGGGGATGCTGCAGCTGATCTGTGGGAAAGTAAGAATCCCACCAAATGCAAATTCTTATATTATGTCCATTCTAAACCATGGAAACAACAGTGTAGGAATCTTGCTAATCGACAAAGCTCAAAATTTAAAGGAATGCAAAACTGGAGTAGATGCACCATTAAATCATTTAGTGTCAAGTTGGACTTTAAACAAAAGGCAGAACATGTCATGTGTTAAGGAGGACAACTGGCATGTTCTGTCTGCAACTAACAGGCTGCTCGTACAGCAATAAGAGGAAGTTATGCTTCGTATTGCATCCATTTTTCTTTGGAAAACTATTCTCATTAACAATTATTATTATTATTATTATTATTATTATTATTATTATTATTATTATTATTTAGGGATTTTATATCCCGTCCTTTCTCAACCACCGCAGAGGGACTCAAGACAACTAACAAAGTGGCACCCCATGGTGCCCACATCAAAACAATATGAAAACAGACAACAAATAGTCAGTGGTCACCAATTTAAATCATTATCCAAGGTTCCATCAGTTCTAAATAAGTCAACACGTCAGTAGGTCAGCCTATTCCCCAAAGGCCTGACCCCATAGCCAGGATTTTACTTGTTTCTGGAAGGTCAAGAGGGATGCAGCAGATCTAATTTCACTCAGGAGGGAGTTCCATAGCCGGGAGGCCACCACAGAAAAGGCCCTGTCCCTTGTCCCCTTCAGATGCAATTGTGACAATGGGGGACAATGAGCAGGGTCTCCTCAGATGATCTTCGGGCCCCAGGCGGATCATAGTGGGAGATACATTTGGATAAGTAAACTGGGCTTTATAGGCCAAAGCCAGCACTTTGAATTGTGCTCGGAAGCTGATAGGCAGCCAGTGGAGCTGGTGTAACAAGGGCGTTGTGCGCTCCCTGTACCCAGCCCCAGTGAGAAGCCTGGCTGCTGAACGTTGGACTAGTTGAAGCTTCCGAGCGGTCTTCAGAGGCAACCCCACATAGAGTGCATTGCAGTAGTCTATTTCGGATGTAACAAGAGCGTGGACCACTGTGGCCAAGTCAGGCTTCCCAAGGTACGGGTGCAGCTGGTGCACACGTTTTAACTGTGCAAAAGCCCTCCCTGCCACCACCGAGACCTGGGGTTCCAGGCTCAGCGATGGGTCCAGGATCACTCCCAAGTTGCAAACCTGTGCCTTCAGGGGGAGTGTAAACCCATATCTTTCTTTGTACTACAGAATAGTTCAACTGCCATCAGCCCCAACTAAGACAGCAGAAACAGATGTTATACAGAGTTCTCTTTCTCTGCTTCAACGCTCTGCCCAGGATAGCCACTTTAGAACACTCTATATACTCATGTATAAGTCTAAAAATGTAGTCAAAATTGACAACATAAACCTGGCAAAATTGACAACATTGACCCTATCCATGGGTCAACATAAATATTCTTATAAAAAAGAAACCACCTATTTCTCTGAATATTGGGTGATACGAGTAAAATGGTGGAGGTAGTCTGGATTAGCTGGCTCCTGGTCATTCTGGTGCTTCCTCCACTCTATGGAATAGTCCCCGACTTATGTGCTTGCAGACAAGAGAGGACTTACTATTTGTTCTAATAATGCCATATTTTTCATCTTAACAAGTCCCCCAAATAAAAAAAGAATGCAATATTTATCACACACGTTCCAAATCCTCTGAGATTTCTCTGACCAGCATACTGAGTAGATAGTCCATCTTTTAAGGAGGTAATAAAATTTCTAATAAGACACTAATTTTTGCACTTTCCCCTGAGGTGATGGTGGCAAAGAATAATAGATCACGTCACTTCACTTCACTCCATAAAATTTCAGGAAACATATGGCAGACCGACACACTATACAGATCAGACCTAAACTAGTAGCAATACCCTTACTACAATGTCTGATTCAATTCATCCCCTCCCTTGGTTTGCCATCACAATTTTCCTGTCAGGATCATTTAGGACCCGCAAAATCATAATTTTAATGATATCAGCACATGGGAAGTTGACTTTTAGCACAGCTGGGAAATTTTGGGAAGCATAATCTAGATAAGTACCTTTCCGGAGCTCTGGAAAATAAATAGATTAGGATATAAAATTTTAACAAGGGGCCATTTTCAGAAGCAGCCTCAGGTCCTTTCTAATGTCTAGTTCCATACTAAATTATAGAGTGTATTAAAGATGATGTCTAATACTCCTTTAATTTTAGATTCCTGATTATAGACTTGTTGTGATAAAGCAGATTTAAATGATGCAGAATGAATTAAACCCAGAAGGGACAAAAACTCAGACATAGTCCAATATTGCTTTCTCTCACACACACATCCACTCCCCATATTTATATCCAGATACACAAGTCATCTTCGTCAGAAGTACAGTCATTTCTCACAATACTGTTGTGCAAACTATTGTTTGTAAGTGATTATAGTTGAAACCAGTAAGTAATACACATACATTTTCCAGAAAAATTAAAATGATTGACATGCAATTAAAACAGCTTCTCTCTTTAAAAGAAAAAAACTTTCAGCTAGCAACTTCCCCCACTCATCCTGGTATGTGTGTTTCAAATACAAGCCTGAGAAAGTCTTAGAAGCAGCTTCAGCCTTAGACACAGAACATCTGATTCAACATCTCCAGTTTATTTTTCCGAGGCCCCAGTAACCAGATCAGTGAAAAAACAGCCAAAGATAACAGAAAACCTTAATGCAAAGTATTGATCTTAGTTCTGGTGATCCCTCCAGTCCCTCAAGAAATAATAAACCACTCACATTGAAGTCTGAGAAATTCAACTGCCCTGAGGGGCTTGAAGGTTTCTTGGATTCGTTTCCACTGTAAATAAACCTCCGGCATCAAGAATGCCTGCATTCAAATACTAGTTGTCCAATAGAAATAATTCATAATATAAAATTCTCCAGGACAGGAATGACAAAATAAAGCAATTGGTTTTGGTTTCTGAACCATTTTAAAAAACAAGAAAAAAAGAACGGTGGTCAATATCATTGCAGTTGTTGGGTTCCCTCTCCCTTGCCTCATTCCTCACTTTTGCATTTTATGCATTTTCTCTTTTTGGCAAGTAAGTCATTAAACTAATACGCACATATTGAAATGGAAATTACACACACAGGTGTACTTTTAGGAAAATGTGTTTCTAACTATTCAGTGTCAGCTTGCAAGTTTGGAGACAGACTGTGGCATTGGAAAAGCAGTAAAAATTGTCTCAAAAAGGTGTAGTGTGAGCTGCTATCCATTGTTACAGTCTCATTCCCATAGACGGAGCCCCTGGTGGTACAATGGGTTAAACCCTTGTGTCAGCAGGACTGTTGACTGACAGGTCAGTGGTTCAAATCCGGGGAGTGTGAGTTGAACTCCCTCTGTCAGCTCAAGCTCCTCATGTGGGAACATGAGAGAAACCACCTTCAAGGATGGTAAAGCATCAAAAAAACGCCCTTGCAGATGACCCTTGCAGTTTCTCAAGTCGCTCCTGACATGAATTTTTTTTCCCTATAGACTCCCTCTCTTGACTTCATGCACAACACAAAACAAAGCCCCAAATTTGGGTAAAACAAAACAACTTCTTTTGGATCTTGTTGGCCAACATCCCAATGTGGACCAATGTACTTGCGCATAATTAAAACACATTATCCCAAGGTGTAGAGAGATGCTTCTCATTTCATCAACACAATTCCTTGTTTCTTTCTAAAATTCTTCCTTGAGTATTTCAAGTGATTGATGCAACTGTCCTCCTAATACCAACCAAATTGAGCATCTTTATTTGCCAGTTCCCCCAAACTTTTTCCAATCACATGCTATCATCCCAAAATTGGGTCAAAATTGAGCTCGTTTTCTTGCCATTGTGTTTTCACTCTCACTCTAGTAACTTTGATGTGGAATGTGTGCACCACAGCTGTCAATAGTTATCAAATAAGAAATGATCTGGCTTCAGAGTGTTTAGGATAAAGCGTGATCTGATGCTGTTTCTTAAGGAAATAATTAGAGAACACACCGAGAAACTAGAAAGAGGTATTTGTATTGGTAAAAATGCATTGATAACCGATATAAGCAACAATGCCTCAATATGCCTGTGGAAGCTAGTTTCATTTTCACCTCAAGCCACATTTTTTTACATTGAGGAAGGTCATGTTGCATGGCATTTCCAGTATATGTTCCCAGCAGTCCCTTTGCTACCACTTAATCATGTTGACAGAGAACACCGTGTTTGGCAGTGGCTGTTCCTTTCCATTTTTCCATGCATTACAGCAAAATACAGCACCCACTGATGGCATAAAATGCAGATATATATATTTTAAAGTAGCTAAATTACAACTACAGTGCATTACAATATAATTAACCTGTAAAAAGAGAGTTGTTTGTCATCTGTTTTATTCTTATTCAATATATTTATTGCTTGTATCTATCAATCTGATTTCATAAATGACATTTAACAGATCATTAAAAGATTCTGCTTTCTTTGTATAGGGCTAATCAGTCACACCTAAAAGTCTATGTTTTCTCTAGCCTTGCATCTGTTTTATCCAATCCACTACGCCAGATTTCCTGACTAAAGAATACAATGTCATTAACATTTTAGACCTCCATCATTTGTGATTCAATTCATAAAATAACATTCAGTGAAGTGTTTTCTGACTATCCAAAGATTTAGAAAGGAGCAAGGCGATGGAATTACTTCGAAAGGGCTCCAGATCTTATTAAATGCAATACTAAAACCACAATTACATTAACCAGCAGCATTTATAAAAGGGAAGATCATCTTTGCAGCAATACCTGTGACTGGAGTCCTTTTATTAAATATCCCAGGCAGAGTTCAGAACCATGTATTAATCTGTATGCTCCTACTTAAAGCATGGGATAGTTTTACAAGAATTGCTCCCCTTCAAATTCAGATTTTTGGAAATGTTAGTCTAGTGAACATAATGATCAGTGTTAAGTACAGATATGGTATTTTAACACTACTTTTTTTTACATATTTGCAGATTTTTTTCTATTGTTTGAGAATTAAAAAAAAACGCAGCATTTCCAGAATTCTCACTCCTTCCATTTCACCTTAGTGCAAAACAAAATAAAATAAAAATGCACTTACATTTTCAAAATCCAAACTATTTGTTTGTATTAGAATCCCAATTATTGAACAATGCTTGAAATTCAGCAATACTGCATATTGCTAGTATCTTCATTTACAGATTTAAAATCATATTTACTCTGTCTACCCTTTCAGCACATCTCTAGGTTAAAAGAATTACCATTTTATCGAGCATTTTATCCAAACACCAGCAGTTATTCAGATCTTTCATTGATTAAGCATGTATGTCTCTTATAAGGCAGTGAGTAGAACTTTATTTTAAAAAATGGTAATATTTTTGGAGATTAACAACATAATTAAGGGCCAACATGGGCAAGGATCTGTTGAACCTATTTTGAATGTCATATGACAACTTTACACTAGGGATCTTGGAAATTACTATGGTCTTACCTCACTCAGGTATAATAATAACCTGTAATGTGGGTTGTGATATAGTGGTTTGAACATTGAACTTTTACTCTGGAGACCAGGGTTCGATTGCACACTTGGCCATGGAAACCCACTGGGTGACACTGAGTGAGTCAGATACCTTCACCTCCAGAAAACCCTGCGATAGATTCGCCTTAGGGTCACCATAAGTCACAAATGACTTGAAGGCACACCACAACAGACTGTGGTTATGTCTAGGCCTGAAGAAGGTTTGGATCTAATATAATTTGACCCAACCATTTTGGCACTTCCATCATAAGATCTCAGGGCCCTTCCAGACAGGCCATATATCCCAAGATCTGATCCCAGGTTTTCTGTTTATCCCAGATTATCTGGAAGCATGGACTCATATAATCCAGTTTAAAGCAGACAACCTAGGACCAGATCCTGGGATACAGGGCCTGTCTGGAAGGGCTCTCAGTCAGATCTTAGAGTGCTTTCCTATCAGATTTCTGAAAGCACCTGATAGGAGAGAACTCTGTCCAAGGAAGAATATTTCTGCTTCTAGTAGGGATTTCTACCTAACCCTAACCACCTTACAGCTAGTCAGAATTGAGCTGTAAATTTAAAATTTCCCCTTGGATACAGAGTTAGTAGAATTTCAATTGCATACTATTACTCCATGTTTGAAGGACATGCCTTCCTCCTAAGATAACAATAACTTAGGTCAGGGCTGGGAAATATTTGTCCTTCTGAAAGTGAAGTCCAAAATGTATGGAGAGTGAAAGTTTCTCTGAATCTGAGTTATTTAAAAAAGTATTTCACTAAGGGAAGGAAAAGAAAAATTGAGTGTAAATTTCAAGGGACTAATTTTATGGACACTAATAAAATTATCTTGCGTAGCATTAAAATAGTTAAAGATAATTGTACAGAATTGCATTTAACTGCTTTACCAAAAGAAACGGCCATGGCTGGCAGCAAGATCTTTTTTCAGAATGATCGCTTTTTCCAAACAGAATCAATTAAGGAGAGAAAGGGGCACCAAGAGGAGAATCCAAACCATTTTTGCACTAGGTACTAAAAATATAGTAATCACCTTTCCTTAGGTCCCTCATGCCTTCATATTTTTTTCTTTGCACACAGAATTCAACACCACATACATCCAATAAACATATCAAATGCATAATAAAACAAGGTAAAAGCTAATGTTAACCTTGACTTTTAAAAAAATTTATTTAACATTTTTGGGCGAGTCTTGGCTGGAGACTGGATGTTTTAGCAGAATTTATTGTGCTTCATATATTACCGTGTTCTTTGGGGAAAACATATGAGAACACCAGACTCAAACCAAATCACATCTAACTAAGTAGTAACAAAATTCTGGCTCCTTTGTAAAATAAAAAAATGATAAAAAGGAAGACAAATCTTCACATCTGTCAGGTGGACAGAAGTACATGCCTTCCATACAAGCTACATTAAAAACTGCTGTCCATGACCTTTATGCAATGGATGGATATCTTCTGGAGTTGTGCCCAGTCACTTCTAAGACATATGTCTGCAAACATTATTCAGGGTGTATGCACTGAAAGTCATGTTGCCATTTGGCAATGGGAAATAAAAAAGAATTGTGGGCCTTCCTCTAATGGCAATGGCTTCTGTATTGTTATATCAGGCCTAGCGAAGGCCTAGGACACTTAATGGCCATCACAGCACCAACCTCATCTACCATTGTTAGCATTTTTTCTTTTTGCATTTCTAACATTTCACATATACATATTTTACACCTTGAGGTTATTATTACTTTCCAAATGCCCCCATATGAATACAGGTGTGGTCTCTATATTTGATATAAATGTGTCTTTATTCAGTTTTTTGCTCCAGGGCTCTTTTGGTGTCCCATATGCACATAAAAGAAGTCCCTCTTTTTTGTTGCTGTTGCATAAGAAAAAATTGTCCTTAGTCCAGAGGCTCTTGCTTTATTCGAATGACAGAGGATGAACGAGATGTCCGTCTGAGTTCTCGCCTAAGTACATATTCACTGAACTGGGAAGAGTCCACGCCTCCACCACACGAGCCAACAATTTCAAACCCTCTTTGTTGCAACCTCTCAAGTACCTACAAAACAGGACAAAGGAGAGATTGTGTAAGAAGAACAAGAGCAATTGTAATCAACTACTCGTCTACTTATCTCAGTTTCAACATTATTAAAATGTGTATCTGAAATGTTTCTGTACTACTCATTAAACATAGCATTGTACAGCCATAATTCTTTTGCTCAGATAATCCTTGATGCCAACACAAAATAAGTGCCATTGGGTGATAATTACTTAACCTCATTTTTAACCAAATATTTTCCCATTTCAGTAACAGCATATAACAGCAATGAAATTCTTCATTCTTGCTAAGCAATGTTTTCTCTTTAACCTGTGCTTATTTTCACTTGTTTTCTATCTTTTTTTCCCCCCAGAAATATATGAAAAGGTGACTCCCACTCCCCACATAATCACAAGTAGACTTCCATGACTAAGATTTTGCTTCACTTAATAGTGAAATTAGACCCAGCCTTGTTGCAGAATAAAAATGATATCCAAGATTCTGAATCATATTTTTAGCTGAATAAATGTAGCTAGCTGTGACCTAAAAAGGCAACTCCTGAAACATACCTTAAGCTCAGGGAGCTACTCTGAGAGGTGGGGGGGGCCTGCAGCATAGTCAAGTGGCATGCTTCAGAATGATGTGGCCAGTTTCCTGGAGTTTAACATATATGTTTTTTTTTGGGAGGGGGGGTGGTGTATTTATGATTGTGGCATTAGTGTCATAATCATAAATACAGAGCATTTACAGATCCTAGCGATACTGATCTGTAACTGCAATGTAGGATACCAATTGACATGTGCATAAAATTTAAATTCCATTAACAGTAAAGTAACTTATCTTTGGATCTTTTCTGGGGGAAATTAGATGCTATAAAGGTGACCCAGCCAACTGGAGTCCTAAGGAAAAGTCTGATCTTTCCTGAAGGTGGAAATCTCAAAGAGTTGAGGACTACTATTGGCAGATTTTATTTACATAGCACTTAACAGTTTTCCAGATGTAGCAGTACAGATGCTTCTTGAATAAGTCAATGTTCTCTGGATCTCCAAATAAGTTATTTTACTGTTGCTAGTGGAGTTTAGCTTTTACTATTCTTTGTCTCAGTCCCCATGTGGCCAGAATGATATAGTTTGTACATTTTGGTTGGTCAAACAAGATCTATCTTATTTGTAGATTTTGTTTTATTTCGCTTTATGGCCAACATGACTAGTCCTCCATAAATGCTATGTCTTCAGAAGTATTTTCCTGCTCTATTGTGTATTGAACACATACAATACGTGCAATTAGATCTAATGTAACATACAGGAGTATAATCTGTATTCCACGGAAGCACTTCAGGGTATTATTTTTTTCTTATAGTTATTAATGAAAAACTGATAATTAGTAGGAGTACATGTAAGCAAGTTTGTAAGAAAATAACTGGGAATCTGAAAGGTGTCAACCAGATGGGGGAAGCAATATGCGCATGCACATAATATCTTTTAGGTTCCTAATTCTGTAGAACTTGAGATTTGGGAGTTCTACTTTTGATTCCACTCCATGCATTCTTTTTATGCATATAGAAGAAGCTTCTTTTGTTTTTCTTTATTTATCAATTGCCACTGATTTCAAAGCTTTACACTGACCTCCAATTGACCTAAGTTAAATAAAAGAGTGGAAAGGAGGGGGAATATATTTAGACAGTGATTTGGAAGCCATAAAAGTGGGAGGTCACCTTTTGTTCAGTAATATTACTTTGTCGTGAATACAGGAAATTCCATCACTTTATTCTGAACTGCAATTTTGCCATTTAAAAATAGATAATTGTAACACTGCAGTCTGCCACAAGGACATTTGGGTGATACTGATGTTGACTTTTCAGATGTCTTGTTAGCAGCAAGACAAATCAATCAGCAACTTATTAAATTGATAAGGTATGTGATACCTTTCATATTTCAATAACTTGTTCCATTTTTTTTAAAAAAAAAATGACACATGACTAGCATGCTCAGAAACAGACATACTGATTATTACTTACCTGAACTGAATTAAGATGACAATATCCATTTAAAGGAAATCTGATTACATGTGTCGAATCATGATTCCAACCTGCATTCACCGAATTGCACATCACATCACCAATTTCTGGGAAAACCTCTTCTATCAAGGACTTGTCACCGCTCAAAGTAATCCTCTCCCCGAGATCTGGAGCAACTCGCACAACCAGACATTCACAGGATTTGGAAAACCGGCCTGTCTCCCGATCCTGTTTCCACCTTTCCATTTCACCCAGCATGGGCTGAAGCTGAAAATACTTTGCTTCTTCATATAGCAAACTGTAGTCCTGAAAGAGATAATAGTTTTCAATACAACAAAGACTAAAACATAGTTGCCAAGTGGTTCACAGTTAAAAAGAAGTAAAATCTTTCTTTTGGTGGACAGTTCTTATGTAAAATGAAATTACAGTCCCGAACCCCTGGGATTCGATTACTTACCCTTTTTTTTCTACACTAGGCCACAGACTGTTTACCTTCTCCAATTAAGAAGAGTTTAGGACAAAGGTTGGAATCATGTGACCCTCCAGATATTGAACTGCAACTTCCAGTATTCCTCATGCTGACTAAAGTTTCTGAGACTTAATATTTGATAACAGTTAGAGTACTACATAATTCCTACTGGTTTAGGGGAAAACTGTAGTGTATGATCAATTCTACTCTGAACATCATGAATTCACACAACTTCCAACCAGCCCCCTTCCCAGATATTGGATTGAGTACAGAGAATCAAAGGGTAAATTAATGTTCAATGCAGATTAAATTCTACAACATGTAACTTAGGCCAGTAGGATAGAACTCTTATATACCAATGTTTATGGTTGCTTGTGAACGTTTAAAGAGAGAAGCTTATAAATAGTAGCGTTTGAAAGCATCTAAATAAAAATGTGTTGATTGCTAATAGCCAGCATTAATTTGTTAAAAATAAAAACATGTTATGAGCCGATATTCCCTTTGATACGACAAACAGTTTAATGGATAGAAGTAACCTAAACAATTCATTTCAGCAAATGTGTAGGCATAACTCAACATGGCATTTTAAGTGTAATCATATGCATTTCTCTTCAGAAGTAAATCTTCCTGATTTCAGTGGGATTATCTGCTATACTGTAGGTTATACTGTACATTAGGAAATGCACATCCAAATATGATTGATGAAAGAGTTCAATTAGGCATTTTTTGCTAGACTTTACTGGAATAAGACAGGGATAGTTTACATTGTTTGCTTATAAATTTCATTTGTAGTTATAAATTTTTCATTAGGGTGTATGTATGTGTGGAAGAAATGGATTACAACTCATATCAATTGGAAGAACATATTTGCTATGAACCTCATGAACCTGATCAGGGTAGCTTTAAAATAAATTATCAGAGGGGAGGGGGCACAGCAAGGATTGGGGGGGGGGAGATTGCATAATGATAAGGAAGTACTCAAGAGTGGAAAGAAAAACAAAAATCAGGAATCAGTTGAGAGAATGCATAGGGCATGGATAATAAATAAGATGAACTTGAACACGAATGCAGGAAGGAAAAGATTTCATAGGTATCACTGAAATCTGGTAGGATGAATCCCATTATTGTTATGCAGCAATGAAAGGATACAACCCATTACAAAGCCAGACAGGAAAGCAGAAAAGAGTAGCATTATATGTCTAGGATGTATATACCAGTGAGGAAATTCACAGAAAACAAGTAGAGATCCTTAGAGTAAAAATTAAAAGGGGAAAAGAAAACAGTTATCACATTGTAGGCGTGTACTACAGTTATCCAGTAATATTCTATTTTGGAATGATGCCTAAACATTCAAAATAAGTGATAAAATAGTTACAGGAGACTTCCACTATCTTGATCTTTGTTAGAAGTCAGACTTTGTTAGAAGTCAAACTCTGGCAAGAATTATTTACTTGCCTTATAGAACTCCAGAAAGTGGAAGGGGCAACACTGTTTTGAATTAGATCTTAACCAGCAGAGATGAACTGGCCAACAGGGTGAAATAAGATTATCCTTGAGATTTGTTACACAGGAGAAGTCAAATATAATCAGACATTCATTCTGGACTTCAATAACTTAGCAGCATACTCGGTGAGGTGTGGTGGTCAGAAATGCTCAAAGGGAAGGGAGTTCATGGTACACAGAGTTTCTTTGGGTAAAATATTAATGGTGCAGTTGTAAGCAATTTCAACAAAGAAGGAAAGTGGGAGTTGTTTAAAGAAACTAGATGGCTGAAAGAAAAATACCTTAGCTGAGCTGATGGAAAGAAATGGAAGATGAATAGCCAGAACTTATAGGGAGAAAGACTGAAAAGTTAAAACTTAGAATAAGCTCAAGCTTGTGGGTGATGTCAAAAAATAATAAAAGGGGATTTTGAAAGGTTATATTTGGAGCAAGAGGAAGAAAAAGGAAATATGCCACTGTAGAGATGATAATAAAATGCTAATAGGGAACAGATATTTTTGTCCCAATCTACCCCCCAAAAAAGAAAGCGTACTCCAATTGTTAAAAATTGAACAAATGACAATGGGACTGCCATCCAAAATAGGCAGACAAGAAGTGAAGGAATACCTAGCTAATTGAAGTAAATTTAAATCTCCAGTTATAGCTGAATTAAAAGAATCTGTCAACAATCCATGAAAATTCTTGGAGAACAGAAAAGGATCCAACAGAACGAAGGAGTGTGAATGTTGTAAGTAGATGCATCATGTACTGTATGGGTATTTTTGCATAGGTACAAGATATCTGCTTTTTGTGTGCTCTGAGTACAGTCTCTCCTTAATAAATCAAGTTAAAATGATAAAATTGTGCTCTTGGGTGGTTAGCAGACCAAATTTATATATTCCACTTGCCAGGATGAATTAAAAATTACTGGGGTTTATGACCTACTTCTGTGATTTCATAGGAGGACATGCCTAATAATGAAACGCCATCTCCAGCATAAAATTTGTGGGGGAAAGCCTTCCTTGTTGTTGTTTATTCATTCAGTTGCTTCCAAGTCTTCATGACCTCATAGACCAGCCTATGCCAGACCTCCCTGTTGGCTGTGGCCACCCCCAGGTCCTTCAAGGTCAAGCCAGTCACAAGGATACCATCCATCCACCTTGCCCTTGGTCTGCACATCTTCCTTTTTCCTTTCATTTTCCCTAGCACCATTGTCTTCTCCAAGTTTTTCCTGGCTTCTCATTATGTGGCAAAAGTACTTCACCTTTGCCTCTAATATCCTTCCCTCCAGTGAGCAGTCAGGCTCAATTAAACTATTTATTTACCCTATTTATACCCTACCTTTCTCAACCCCAAAGGGGACTCAAGGTGGCTTACATATAGGCAACTATTCAATGCATTAAAACAACACACAACTTAAATAAACATTTAAATTAAAAATTAAAATAAATACATAATAAACATTTTAAAAATTACAATCGCTATTAAAATCACGCCATCTACAATCATAATTCATTGCACATATTCCATATCTGTTATTGTACTACAACTATTCTTCGAAGGTTTGATCCCAAAACCATGGTTTCACTTTCCTTCTGAAGGTCAGGAGAGAAGGGGCTGATCTAATGTCACTGGGAAGGAGGGGTTCCATAGCCAAAGGATCACCACTGAGAAGGCCCTGTCTCTCTTCCCCACCAGTCACTTCTGCAAAGGAGGCGGGACCAAGAGCAGGGCCTCCCCAGACAATCTTAATCTCCGAGATGGTTCATAGAGGAGATATGTTCGGATAGGTAAGATGGCCAGAAACGTTTAGGGCTTTGAAGACTAAAGCCAGCTCTTTGAATTGAAATGGGGCTTGGCCCCATGTAAGCCACTCCGAATCCCCATCGGGGAGATGGTGGTGGGGTAGAAATAAAGATGATGATGATGATTATTATTATTGAATTGTGCTCGGTAGCAGACTGGCAGCCAGTGGAGTTGACGTAGCAGGAAGGATGTCCTCTCTCTATACGCTGCTCCAGTGAGCAGACTGAATGCTGCCCGTTGGGCCAGTTGAAGCTTCCGAACTGTCTTCAAAGGCAACCCCATGTAGAGCCTGAAAGTTGTGTTCAGATGAGATTAACTGATCTATATTTATAGACCTATTAACACATCACTTTACCTAAGCAGGTGATAAGTGGGTTTCCCAAGCTAAAGTGGTGAGAAAATTTCTGCCTTGCGTTTTTGGTCTTCATGGCTATTGGGGTAAATTGGCTACTAGTAATTATGTATTGCTCTATTAAAAAAATAGATTGGTTTTTCACTGACATTTAACTTTTCAGTAGTTTAATCATATTATTTATTTGTTTGTTTAACAACGCTTTTCATCTGTAACTGTTTTAATATTTGTAATCTGCTTTATGCCTCAAGGCTGGGTTGATAGTAGCATTCCAATTCTTATTGAGCCAATCTAAGGCCTTTTGGTCAGTCTAGATATATCTATCACTATTTTTTTGGCATGCACTGATACAATGGAAATATAACTTTTCTGGAAAGTAAAGGATGGCACGCCTAAAACTTCAATTACCGGATATTTTTCCACAGGATAATTTATGGTTTTCATTAAACAAAGCATTCAGGTTCAGAATTGGCCAAACAGAGATAGATCCCATTGAAAATGGCATAAAGGGATGAAAATTCAAAAGCGCCCCCAAAGCACTTTTGTGAAATATACAGTCCCCAAAGTGGCACTATCTTGCTCTATAGATCTTTACGAAGATGAAAATCTATCAGGAACAACATCCTCCATCAAGATTCTGACCCACAGTAAAGAACTGGGTAGCTTCAATATCTTTATATATCAAAATGGAAACGACACACCATAAATCAAAGGTTTGATTTCATTCCTATTTTACCTGCACTGAAAATAAGCCTAAATTGTGTATTACAAGGCTAACATTTAAAAAATCATTTTAAATGACTGACCTACCTCCAGGAAAGAAAACCATTAGGGGCACTGGAGAAACAGATTCGGAATCTCAAGCGGACATATGTGCTAATAAGGCTATTTTTAAACACTAAGTGCCATTCAGAGTAGTGTGCCCTAAGAATGCTTGCGAAGGGCAAGTTGGTACTACAAGGTTTTATAAAGACTGCAGTTTAGCTCTGTGGCTTGAGTTGAAGCACATTTCATCAGTCACACACATTTTGATTTTCCTACTGAGTAGATAAGTAGGGCCAGATGTTTCAAATAACCCGAGGCTGGATTTTTAAGAGTGCTCACATAAAAAAAAAAACCTTTTTGAAAATATGGCCCTTAAGCAACAGGGATAAAACAATTACACAATATCTTGAAATTCTTCACCTTTTTTCATGGTTCCTTCCCCATCCCACCTGAATGCAAATAAATCCCATCTGTTAGGGCACATCATATTAAGGTTTGGATTAATAGGGGATATGAAAAGATTAATTCTGATGGTGCTCAATGTTGTTGCCAGAAAAAGAAGTCATAAGTACTGGTGCCAGTTGCTTAAAAGGGAAAATAATATGACAAAAATGGCTGGCTTTCTGTTTGGTATTTACAACATCATAAGCCAGAATTATGATATATTTAATGCTGGAATGGTCATTTATGGTTGGTGCACCAGTGTGACAACGAAAATGCCGCCTAAGCCTACCTTTGACACCTGTTAGCCCCACCAACAGAGGATTTACAAGGTGCTGTGGGGCACGGCAGTTGGTGAAACATCCATCCTTCTCTACATAGCCAAGATAGTGTTTGGGTGCTTCTTTGCTGATCACACCACTCTCCGGTGCCTCAGAAATCCTTTGGTTGGCAAGCTAGTTTGGTTGGCAAGCTAGTTTTTTATGGATTGCTTTGGTGGACATAGCTATGATGATGGAGATCCATTGTTATAGATACACTTCCCAATGCCAGATATATGTTCTTCCCCATGTAGGTCCTTCGAACCATTCTTGATAACATTAAGCTGCTCTTTGTGTCTGACAGACTCTGTTAAGGTTCTCTTTGGGTCTGACCGACTCTGTTAAGTTGAAATAAAGGTCATAAATAAGTCCAAATTGACTACAATTTAAGGAATGCTGTAATGGAGGGGGTCTCATGTATCACAATAGTCTGTTTTCTTCTCTTCTGTTTTCTAAAGAATATTACAAATAAGGAATCAATAATGTGAAAATTTTAAATCCTGAGTCACTCAGCCATTTTGATCAAAACTAACTCCAAGGTAATTATGGCCCTCCAGAGAGATTGCAATTCACATGGTTCCTTACTACTGGCTATGTCAACTAGGGTTGACAAAAGTCCAGCACCATTATTGTGGGGAGTCAAAAATTAATCACCTCTGATATTGGGTCAAAATTAATCCCTGGGTTCTCAAACTATGGGCTGTGGCCCAGCACTGGTCAGCGAGAACAAAAATCCAGTCCATGAATCGCCTTCCTCCTATTTATTTTAATTTGGCTCCTTTTTGCAGAGCTAAACAGCCCCACTTCTTTTGCTACTAATGTTGGAGAGAGGTTCCTGGTCAAAGTGGTCCCTGGTCAAGCAGGCACTGGTCAAAAAAAGGTTGGAAACCACTGCCCTAGGTGTTTTGTGATGGGTTGGAGGGGGAGCAGTATAATGGAAATATATTGCAAGGGAAAAAGCAAAAACATAGCCAAAAATGAGCAGCAAGGGGAAAAGAAAACACATAGGAAAAAATCCCATTTGGATTCTTGATTCATAAATTACTCCGTCGAGAAAGCTGGAATTTATAGTACTCCCTCTCCCCATAAACCCCAGGGCTAGGGTAGTTGGTAGATAACAGGTTGACAGGCCTAGGATAGTTCATGGTTAATTGGATCCTTCTAGAGCAGGCATGGGCAAACTTTGGCCCTCCAGGTGTTTTGTACTTCAACTCCCACAATTCCTAAGAGCCAGTGAGCTGGCTAGAATTTCTTGGAACTGAAGTCCAAAACACCTGGAGGGCTGAAGTTTGCTCATGCATGTTCTAGGGGAATGCAGAGAATATGGATTCTGTAGGTCCAAAACTATCCATCCACTGAATATCATGTTTGGACAACTTTTAACTGATCTCACTGATGAGAGAAGAATCACTGACTGGTTGCATCCCAACCTGGGTGCTGTGGTTACCTTCACTATTAATGCAACACATCAACACATCACTGTAGCCACAGTTGTCTGGTTTAAACAAAGAATATGCTTAAAGACTGGACTGCATTCATTTCAATAGCTCGTGAAACTGATTTGACAGTATAATTCCATCAGAGGTCACAACAGGAAGGATAATAAAACGTATTTAACAGCACCCACCTTCTATGAATCACAAGGACACAAATGTTCTCAATATGGAACATTATTGTCTCTTCCATTCAGTACTGCAGATGCAACATTTTACATTTAGCTAGTGTAAATAGTTTCCTATATCTTCAAAGAGATAATTCTATCAAAGAACCTATAAGAAGAAAAGCCTGTCTCCTTTCACTAAGGGTCAGGTAGACAGATGCTGTGCTTATGTGGTTTTGCAACTGGATATTCCACAATGCTGGCATATAGTTTCACTGGCCTTAGTATAACCAATAGCAAGAATTGAATTTTATAAGAATACCACATTAAAAATGTTTTCATCTACTATGGCCATTTCTACATATAATCCATATATGCCATATAATCCAGATTATCAAAGCAGATAATCCACATGGCCTGCTTTGAACTGGGTTATATGAGTCTACACGGCTAGATAATCTGGTTCAAAGCAGATAAAAACACTTTAGACCAAATTTGACCAGTCTCTCTATGTAGCAGTACATTGGACACACAATTTTAAGGCCAAGAATAATACTTCTCAAACATTTTATTTGAATAGATTCTAATGCCATGAAATTGCTAAACCCACACAGTTTTGCTCCATAAAGTGTATTTGCTAACATCTTAACATTCAAGACTTGGATAGCTGATAATAAATCTTAATCACCATTAACATAAAAAGGAGGCAAGCGATTTAACAACTTCTATTGCAGTTGCTATAGTTTATGATACTTGGGCTCTTGAAAAACCTGAACAATCCTCTCAAATATTTCGAACTGCTCAACTGGATGTCCATTGATCTGCCACCAATGTTGGTTCAATTTCCAAGTAAAAACTGAAACTTCAGCTGTCACCAAATTACATTTATCTCAAACCAATGCACAACAAACCCAGAAACATTGTAATATCTACATCAAGGAAGATAGATCTGGATTTACACACCAGTTTTGGAAGTTAAAGCTATATCTACCAAAGATTTTATGTCAAGTCACTTTGGCTTCCCTTTGGGGAGATAAAGCGGCATATAAATAATAATAATTCAGGAACCATTTAAACTAAAGAATCAATGTACATTTTGTACAAGATGTGGACATATCTGGATTTAGTCGACATTCATGATTACATCTCACTTACAAGTCATAAAGGCTTTAGTGACATACACACGTGTATGTTTCCTTTATGCATTTGTATGTCCTTTGGGAGGGGGCACTAGAGGGACATTATTTCTTCTCACTCTCTGCAACATCCAAAGCCCTTCTTGACTTACTGAATAGCCCCTGAAACCATTTGTGCTTTGTGGGGAGCAAGCAGAGTTACAGAAGTATTTATAGATGTTCCTATATCATACATGAAGTGGTGCTGAGATCCACTTGTGTGTTTCTGGGATCCTAGCTGCTTTCCACAAAGCACAGCATGGTCACTAGGAGCTGCAGTGGTTATTAAGTCAAAGGATAGTATATGCCCAGCCTTTTGTTTTATTCTGCATCTTCTGAACATGCCAAATACAATGCTTAAGACTGATCCTAAAATTTAATCTCTGTTAAGATTAAATTGTTTTGGTTCTCAAAATTTCCAATAGAAATGTAATAATGTTGCTGAAATATTTTCCCATATGCTCAAATAATTTTCTGTTTGACACCCACTGACACTTTGTTTCTGTATTTGATATTTGAAACTGAACCCTTAGCAGTTTCTCAATGACTCAGGACCAATATTTTTATGGTCTTTGATTTTGATCCGAAAGACAGTTTGGAAAACAATTAATTGTATATCAAAATTCACAACTTTGAAAAGTTTGCAAGTTGATATTAAGATTTGAGAGCCTGAAAAGTGTTATAGAACTTATAGCATGCAATAAATAATATGCATATATAAGTGATGTTTGTGACAGTCAAAACTGACAGCATGTGAAAACAAAAAACACAGAAAAGCACTAAGGGATCAAAAACATTTGAATCTGAAAACATTAATCATTCAATTTAATGAAGGATTACTCAAAAGTAAAACTGATCAAATCCAGTAGGACCCATTCCCAGCTATATTTCCACTCTTAGATATTCATACATTCAGAAGGTAAATATGAACCGTGTCTCTAAAATTCTTTTTTACAATTGTTAAGGATAAACATAAAAAATCTGCCAGTTTCTAATAGTTATTTTAAAAAAATCTAATCACTGCCATCTTCCTTCATTTGGTAGTTCTGATTCCAACTATCTCCTCACTACATATTTCCAAACATCATGAAAATGATGAATAACATTTCACCTTGAAATCATCTGGTATGAGGAGTTTTGATGTTCGTAGAAAATTCAAGATGTATCTGAACATTTGGCCATCCCTGTCGATGAAGTAATGCTGCTTCAGGCTGTCCAAAACAATGGGCTCCGTGCCATCGAAAAGCCTCCCAATTCTGAAAATGAAAGAGAAGTCATCAGCAACATCAATCTAGAATCAGCATCATGAGTCACTAGGAGTCATATTGATCAGAGCTAACCGAAATTATTCCAGCATTAAGTTCAGTGATGAAAGAACTTTGCAGGGAACACATATTAAAATGAAACATGATGAATTCTTGGTGCGAATTTGGAAAAGATTTGCAACGGAATGGAAAAATGGTGGGACCTGTCTACTGAGACAGTTATACTGAAAAGAGAGGCATGTGAAATTTATCCCCCTTTCAACAGCTCCTTAAACCATTCTCTGGGGCTGCATGAAGAAAGTGTGCCCTATGGAAGCACTTTTACCCATGCAGGGTTTATTTTTTCTCCTTCAAACATCTTGAAACATAAACCTCCAGGGCTAGGATTTTTGTGGTCTTTGGCTCTGAGCCAAAATAATCCAAGTGTGTAGAATCTGGTAATCATTTGTCTTTGAGTCTTACATTCTGAATAGTTTAAGTTTCCATTCTTGAGGTTGTACTCCTCTCCCTCCCCCCTCCCCTGGCCAGCCTCTTCTTGCTTGTATGGAAGAACCAAGAAATAGGCTGCTGTTCTAAATTAGAAGAGAACGATATAAAAATATTAATTTATTTATGATACACAATTAGTCTTTTCTTTTGCATCCCACATTCCATGGAGAAACAAGAAACATTTTACAGGACTGCATATGATTTCTCAGAAGTAAAAACAGGACAACTGATGTGAATATGGATTTTACCATTGGGAGTTGGAATACTGGCATTTTGCCCCCTACAGGATTCCAATCTGGATTGGGCTCTTAATACTTACTGTGTTTTTCCAAAACTAAGACATTGTCTTATATTTATTTTTCTTCCAGAAGACACACTATGGCTGATTTCCAGAGGATATCTTAGTTTTATTAAGTCCTAGCCAACCCCCTACCATACATTGCTGTGGCCCAGTCTGTGTATATGTTTTTTGTGTGTATATATATGTGTGTGTGTGTATGTGTATGTAGTTTTGCACATACATTGTACTGGTGTTTTTTTCAAGTCTCTTTTGCTGTTTTTTTCAGTGTTTGTATGAGTGATGGTCACTTGTTGGCCTGATAGGTGTATTGTGTTCAAACTTGGTGTCAATTTGCCCAGTGGTTTTTGAGTTACGTTAATCCCACAAACAAACATTACATTTTTATTTATATAAGATGGTACAACAATCTGCATTTATGGGATGACCTCTCTGGGCTCAGATGCAGACTGCTTGCTGAAGCTTTTCCACTATCCCCTGGTGTTTGTGGAGGGTGAGAGAGACCCACAGACTGTTGCTGGTTGGTGCTGGAGGGGAGAGACCCACAATGCTGAGTATAATGGCAGCCACAGCTTTACTTCTTCCCTCTGAGGACACACAATCCCTAAAGCAGTGTCCTGCTCCTCACTACAGTAGAGTGTCCTGCTCCTCACTTCACTTCACTTACTATGTCTCCTCTATGCCTCAGCTTGCAGCATGCACAGAATGACCAAGAACTGACAGGGGGAGTTGACGTTGTATGCTGCACCACCACAACTATCACAATGTCTTATTTTGGGGTATGGCTCATATTGTGCAAAAGCTTGCTATGGCTTATTTTATGGGTATGTCTTATTTTCGGGGAAACAGGGTATAATATGTATTACCAAAAAGATTAAAAAGTTCAAAAGGGTGGCTTGAAATGAATTATTTTCATATCAATGGAAATTACACTCAAATCTTCCCACTGCCAGTCTATAGAGTGCAAGGGAAAGGTTTCAAGATTTCTTACCATCTCAGGTCTGAATTGAGTGCACAATATGAGTAAAGAGGAAAAGGCACCAAAGATTGAAAGCATTTTGAAGTTTTACCCTAAGGAGCTCTTATTTCCTATGTATAACCACAACTGGCTTAATCCAGCAAATATCATAACTGAGCAGGGATTTGATGTTGGGCTCCACTTTCCTCCTAAAAAAACTAACTCTGACAGCTCTTCTTCTGGTCTTGGGCTTCCACAATAATTACTTTAATAAATGTGAAGTAAAATCAGTTCAGGCAACTGGTTAGGGCTGAAGTTTGAATGGTCTCTAAACTTCTGATGAGGGAGAAACTCTTAAAAAGGTTCAGATAACAATCTTCCTGGACAGGAGTTCTATCTAGTGTCTGAACCTGGTTTATGTATGTTCTTTGGGGTCATCTTCCCACAATGCTTAGCCAATCATACCACAGGGACTAGACCTCCTTTCCCATAAAGAGCACCTTGAGAGGATAGATGCATCCTCACCATGCCCATAGTCAAGTAATCACAGACTTACAATGAGGAGAAAAACTTGAATTTTAGTATGTTTTTCAACAATAAACAGCAAAATGTGGGAAGATAAGATATACACCCCTTGTTTCCCAGTTTTTACCTCTGATGCTAGTTCGTTTGATAGAACCAATTCTTCTCACTCAGAAAATGAGTGTAGGCAACCTTTGCAGTCTTTTCAACCTTTTGTCCATAAATACCACTCAGCATTCATTATGATGTTGTATCTTCAGTTTTAAGTCAATTTTATGTGTACAATAAACAGAGCATAGAGAGATGCAACTTAGCCTGATTTAAGTCCTAATATAATCTGCACTTTAAACGATCTGTCTCCTTTTTCATGAACATACCATACCTTTGGATTTTCAGAGGGACAAGAGTCTTAGTCTTAGGACTTTTTTTCTCAATTAAGTTAAAAATTAGAGTTATAAAAGCTGAAATAACTAGAAAGCAACTTGCCTACTAAGTAAAATCATATGGATCATGGATTTGGACAAATTTTATCTGGAATGGCTTGAGAAACCTCAGAGGCCACCTGTGCAAATTGCAAGGATAGCCCTTCCTCTCAAGTCCCTCCATACTGCTGTGAGTGTTGCACAATGATACATGAGGAAACGCATTTCTATATTTTTGCTTCCCAAAATTAGCCACTTACCCACTCAATTCTGCTGTTTAATAGGGTATTGAAGAACAACCTTCCTACTGTGCCATGCTTTCCAGCAAAAAAGAGAGTGCTGGGAGCCAAGGAACACAAAGAGAATCATATTCATTTGCCTTCCTTCCTAAGAAAATCACTGGGAAAAAGGTAAAGTTAAAACCTCTCTCTTCTCCAAGTGGATGGGGGAATGTGTTTGTATATGACAGTGTGTTCAAAGTATTATCAACTAGGTTGCATGCTGTTTTATCTCCAAACTATGGACCCATTTACACTTATACTATTATAGCGCTATGATTACACTTTAACTGCCATGGTAACATCCAATGGAAATTTGGGCTTTGCAATTTGGGAGGCATTAGAGCAAGAGTACTCAACCTGTGGGTCCCCAGATGTTTTGGCCTTCAACGTCCAAAAATCCTAACAGCTGGTAAACTGGCTGGGATTTATGGGAGTTGAAGGCCAAAACACTTGGGGACCCACAAGTTGGGAACCACTGCTCTAGAGCCTCCCAAAAATACGTTGATAATTTCCTTTATCCCAAAACTATAAATCCTAAGATTTTATGGGAAGGTTCAATGACAGTTAAAGTGGAAACATAGTGATATAATTGTGTAATATGGAAAGGCCGCATGATGTGATGCTAAAGTTGGAGGATCAGTCACATAATTGAACTTAAATTGTTCAACAGAATAACAACGTGCTAATGACCCAGCCTTTTAAGTATGCCAGTGACAGGAATTATGTCATTTATTTCTTCCTTCCTGGGCCATTTTCTGCTTAACCCTCTTTGCACCAAGCTTCTTCAGTAACAGGACAAAGTATTTTAAAATGAGGGTTGAGTCTTCTTGCAGCCTTACTATCCTTGCTGCCTTGCTATCACCTCCTCCTCTTCCCATCCCAGAAGGTCAGTCTCTCACACATGTCTGAATTGGTTTAATATTTGCTTCTGAACTTCCAAGTAGCGGCATGATGAAACTGATAATTTTTGTCAGACTCACTGTGGCCCAAGGCAGAAAGCAGCTGTACAAACTCAAAATGCAACCCAAGAGGCAAATGGACTGTTTGCAGATTTGAAAAGAATCAAATATTTTTATTGGGATAGGTGTCTTTGAAAAAAAAGTGAATAAAGAAACAATAATAAAATAAACAAGTAAGATAAAATTTCTGAAAACAAGATGGTTGATCTCTTAAGCATTTGTCAGCAGCCAAGATACCTCTAAAACAAAATATATTTTCCCAAGAGTTGCTCATCTCATATGAAAGTGACTTAAAATAGGAGTCTTAGAGAAAATGACAAATATCACATCAGATTTTGCTTTATTTTTCTTCCAATGTTACTTCTATCTGAAATTTCATTGTCATCATTCATAAAACAAAGTGCACAGAAAGATACCAAGATTTGCTGCAGAGCATAACAGGAGCCAGAAGCAAGATCTAGAGAACGCCATTTTCTAAAAATGTACAAAACCCTTCACACCTGGCACAGAGTTTAGATCTGTGTGTGGTAAAGGTATGCGGTAGTTCTCCTCATTAGTACTGCCTTGGGGCCATTGTAGTAGCCTCTTTAATAAGCATCTGGGCTCAAGGGTAAGCAGCTAGAAGAAAGATTGTGAGAACCAAGTTGAGAGAAATTAATTGGGCAGTTGCTTGACAATCACCCATACAAATATGACAAGTTCCTTCTTCTTTTTCCTCCTAATTATGTCTGTATTGGTCAGGATTTTTACCACTGGTCACCTCAAGATGACAACCATGTCTCAACAAAACCTATTCCAAGAGGGGAACAGAGCTATTATATATTATAGACACTGTGGCCAGTTCTGAGAAACAGACATCACGGCTCAAGGCCCTCCATTTTCACTGGTTCCCTGTGAAAGTAGGCAAAATACAAATAAAAAGCCCCCCTTTTAAACCTGAAAGAACACCTCTAGGTCCTCCAGGGTAACTCTATGGTCAATTTCTGGTGGTGGTTGACCACAGAATTGAACTGGAGGACCGTCAGATTCCTAAGAGGCCTCTTCTCTAGATCCTCCAACATG